TGAGAGGGAAAATGAGAAATCACCCCGATAGGGGATGGCCACGCAATCCCTTCTCCTCCTGGGATCTTGGTCCCTCCTGCACAAGTTCCTGGTGTGATTTTTAAAGCCACCAGATCTGGGACTTGAACCATGACTGGCCATATGATAGTCCAGTGACATAACCACTACGCCATCTACTGGTCCCATCTTTATTTATTTATTAAACAGTGGGTATCTACAATGCGTGTGGAGTGGAGATTCCTCCAGGTATGACGAACAGCCTCTGCTCTTCTTCCGTCCTGGCTATCCGCACTGGCTGCCTGTTCTGGAGGCTCCGGCCACCCTGCCCATGGCCCACTGTAAATAACTGGTGTGAAACAGCCCCGGGACTGGTCTGAGACTAGGTGAAGTGACAGCCAGGTTTAGATGTCACATGCCCCGAGCACGGCCAGCCTGTTCCAGGTTACTGTCTATGTCATTGAGATTCAGTCTTGCCTTCGGTGTAGGAAGATGTCCGATTCAGATGTTTTTAACTGTTTTATTGAGATTTAATTTACATAGCATAAAATTCACCCTTTCAGGGCTGGCTCCGTGGGCTGGTAGTTGAGGCAGCTGAGTCCCACACGGTTCGAATCCTAGACTTGGCATCTTGAGAAACACGCCAGCACATGTGCATACATGCCCAAAATCTCAAAAGGGAAGAGAGATGGCAGAGATGGGATTGTGGCGTGACCATTTCCCATGAGGGGTGCTTCTCACTTTACCCCCTCTCTGTCTTTCTCTGCTGAATGCATATGCTCTCTGGCAAATTTTTTTTAAAAATTCACCTTTTAAAAATCTACAATTCAGTACTTCTTAGTGTATTCATAGAGTTAAACAACCATCACCACTATCTAATTCCAGAACATTCCCATCACCTCAAAAAGAAACTGTTAGCAGTCACTCTCCAGGCCCCGTCTCCCAACGCCAGTCCTTGGCAACCGTAAAGTTACTTTCTGTCTCCGAGGACTGGCTACTCTGGGTGTTTCTTACCAATGGAGTCATCAGGAACTGAGCTAGTGTCAGGACCAGGACTTGAACTAAATTCTCATCTCTAAGTCTCAGGCTCTTTGCCTCCCATTACCACTCGTTAATAATTCATTTCCCAGGGTCAGCAGGTGGCATAGTGGTTAAGGCACTGGATTCCCACATGGTCGACTGCAGTTCAAGTTCTGGACCTGTCGGCTTGAAACTCATGCCGGGTGTGTGTCTAAAATCCCGATAGGAGAATGGAGAAGCAGGGCTTGTGGCATGGCCATCCTTCTGGGTGGGGGAGTGATTTCTCGCTTTCTCTCGCTCTCTGTCTCTGGTGAGCACACGTGCCCTATGGTAGAACTCTATCTCAAAAACAAAAACAAAAACAAAAACAAAAAAAGTTCATTTCCCCTGCCACTTCCCCTAGTAGGTCTTGAAAAATGCTTCTTTGAGGGGCTGACTGGTGGCATGGTGGTTGAGACGTTGGACTCCCACATGGCCGACAACCGTTCAAGTCCCAGACCTGGCAACTTGCTTTCCTTCTTTCCCCTTTCTCTCTCTCTGTGAGTCTTTCTCTGGTCAAACTAAAATAAATGAATAAATAAGTAAAAATAAATGAAGAATGATAAGAAGAAAAAGAAAAATGCTTCTTTGAAACATCAGGTGGTCCTGGCTAGCTAACGTTGCAGGGGCCTAGCCTGCCATAGCAGGTGTACACGTTGCAGGGATGCGGTGTCCTCTGCTCTCGGAGTGCGGCCTGCTGTGGCCCTCGCACAGCCAGGACATTAGGGCATCTGGGAAGAAGGGCACCTTCTTCCTTGGGGCTTGCACCTATCAGATCATAGCATCTCCCCCTCTGTTCCAGCATCCTTTCAGCATCCGTTTCCTAAAGCCAAGTCTGATGTACAAGGGGTCTTAAAAAGTTTATGGAAAAAGGCGCATTATGAAAAAGTATATCTTTTTTCCACCAAAATGAACATGTACATCATTCTATTTTTGCACGACTCTTTGAAGTCCCTTAGTAGGAAGTCTGGTTTATCAACTGTTCTGTTTCCTTCTTCTCCCTCTAGGCTTAATCTTGCCCCTTGGCGATTTCTCTTTCTCCTTAGGACTGGTTTTTTTCTTTGTTTTGTTTGGTTTTGGGTTTTGTTTGATTTGGTTTTGTTTCAGTGTTTTTGCCACAGGAGGCGTGCACTGGCTGGAGAGAGACAGAGACAAGGAAAGTGAGAAATCTTTCCCCCGGGAGGATGGCCACACCTCAATCCCTTCTCTTGTATTCTCCCCTGCGATTTTGGGCAAGCATACGCATGTGCCCAGCATGATTTTCAAGCCACCAGGTCTAGGACTTGAACTGTGGTCAACTTTGTGGATGTCCAGCACCTTAACTTCCATGCCGCCTGCTGGCCTCCCTCAGGGATGTTTTCGATGTCCTCATCTCACGTGGAGGAAAACACTGGTATTGGAGAAGCATGGTGACAGCCTGTAATTTGCTGACTCATAACCCCTGGAGGAAGGCTCTGGCCATCCGAAGTCAGCCCTCTGAAGGCAGGGACGTGGTGCCTCATTGCACCCTTGACACCTGCCCTCGGTGTAGACCAGGGCCCTCTTCTCCAGTCCCCCGAACCCAGTCCTATATGGGTTCCGAAGGAGAAGACTGGGTCTTTAAACCGTGCAGTCAGCCCGGATACATTCTCGCGGCATTCGTCGTATGCAACTACAGTGTTAGGCTTCTGATGAAACGCGTGTTTTCATTTCTTGTCTGTACTCTCTGAAGCACAAGTTGATCATTTTAGAGAAGAGACCAGATTTTTCCGCATCTACATTCGTATTCAGAAGCAGCTCCTCTTCTCTAAACCTTGAGGCCTCTGAGGACCGTGAGGCCTTGGGGACAGTGAACCATGTGGCGTGATGAATCAGCAGGTAGCCCAGACATGATGCGTTTTGTGTTAGGGGGGACTCAGACCACCTGGGCCTGCTCAGCAGCAGCTCTGTACAGAACCCTGTTCCAGCTGGGCTTGGGGGTAGGGTCCTTGAGAGGAGAAGGCACGCCCCCTGCCCTCAAGGAGCTTACTGCCTCCCTGCGGTTTGAATGTAATGTATCCCCACCCAGTCTCACTGCAGCCTGGTCTCAGCGCAGCAGTGCAGGGACAGGGGCCTAAAGGGAGGGGTTCAGGTCACATGAGTCCCACCGCTATAAGAGAATTAATACCGTTCTCCCAGGAGCGGGTTCATTCTCACAGGAGTGGATCAGTTACTGAGAGAGCAGTTCATTACAGTGAGCAAGCCCTGGCACCAGCAGTTGGCATAATGGCTATGTCGCTGGACTCCCATGTAGTCAACTGCGGTTCAAGTCCCGGACCCGGTAGCTTAAACTCAAGCGGTTGCGTGTGTATGCGTGCCCAAGATCCCGAGAGGAGAATGGAGGAGAAGGGATTGCGGTGTGGTCATCCCCTCCAATTGCGGTGTGTTCATCCCCTCCAGGGGGTGATTTCTCGCTTTCTGTCTCTCTGTCTCTCTGGCAAGCACATGTGCCCTATGGCAAAAACCTCTCCAAAAAAAAAAAAAAAAAGAAAGAAAGAATGAATGAATGAGCCCTAATGCTCTCTTACGTATGTGGCTGCTTGCCCTCCACTTTTCCACCTGGAGAGAAAGCAGCACGTGGCCCTTCTCACAGGTGGCCACCCCACTTTGGACCTCTTAGTCTCCAGAGCTGAGAGTTAAAATAATACTTTTCCTCCCCTTTTATTGAGATTTTTGCCATAGGGCGTCTGTATTTGCCAGAGAGACAGAGAAAGACAATGACAGGATGACAGGGAAAGTGAGAAACAGCCCGCAAGTGAGGATGACCACACCGCAATCCCTTCTCCATTCTCCTCTTGGGATTTCGGGCACACATGCACAGGTGCCTGGCGTGAGTTTCAAGCTGCCGGATCTGGGACTCGAACTGTGGTTGACTGTGCGGGAGCCCAGCACCTTAACCATTATGCTACCCCTTTTTTTCTTTTGTTAGCGAGTGTACTTGCTAGAGAGAGACAGAGAGGGAGGGAGGGAGAGAGAGCAACCCCCACGGGAATGGTCACAGCATAATTCCTTCCCCTCTGTCTCCCTCCTTCCAGGATTGTAGACGTGCGTGGCCACGCTCCCAGCATGTTCCTCGAGCTGCCAGGTCTGACCACATGGTCGGCCACTTGGGATCTGGCTGCCTTACACACCAGGCCGCAGAGCCAGCCCTAAAGCTCTTTTCTTTATAAACTACCCAGTCTCAGGTATTCTGTTTTGGCAACAGATGATGGACAATGTGCCAACTATCACCAGAGAAAATGGAAATTGGCTTTGGGAAGAGGAGGGCGGGAGCTGGACCTTGACGCCTGGGAGGGTTTGAGTAAGGATGAGGCAGCACACGGCCTTGGGGTCAACTAGTTTGGGTTTTATTTATTTTTTCCATTTTAATTTTTTCAAGTCATTTATTTCATTCCATTTGTTGTTATTATTTTTTTAATTTGACCAGAGAGCGAGAGAGAGGGAAAGTGAAAAAACAAGCCAGTAGGTCCAGGACTTGAACTGCTGTTGGCCATGTGAGAGTCCAGTGCCTTAACCACCACGCCACCTGCAGGCCCCTAGTTACATTTAGGCTCCATCTATTATTATGTGACTTTAGGCAAGGTGCTTCAACTTTTAAATGGAGGAAAAGTGCTGCTATGAGAAGTCAAGCTTGCACAGTTCCACTCTCAGTAAATAACGCATCCCTCTTAGGTCGAGGATGGGCATGAATGAAAAGCAGGAGATGAACATATCAGGGGGTTAGCGTAAAGGGAGGACGGAGGCTTTTTTGGAATGGCGCCTGATTTTCAGTCCCTGTGCAAGGATAGTCATCTTTTTCCAAAGCTGAAATGTACAGTCAGCCTCCCCTCCGCCCTGCAGAGCAGTATCCTGTGTCTGCCATGACCACGGGGGTGGTTTTCCCTGCGCCCGGCTGTCCTGGCTAACCGTGCTGCTCTCCTGTCTAGGAGTGCTCCCACCCCAGCGCATTGCTGCCCGGCCGTCGGGACGTTGTACAACACCAACACACTCGAGTCCTTCAAGACTGCAGATAAGAAGCTCCTTTTGGACCAAGCAGCAAACGAGGTCAGCTGAGAAAACACGCTCTATCGGTCCTATGTCCTGTGGTCCGGGGAGGGGTGGCGTTTCTGACTGGGTACACGGGTCTGTCACAGAGACTAGCGTGTGCCAGGTCCTCAGACATGTGCTGGTGTTACTTGATTTCCCTAGGGAGGGTGCACCCAGCTCTCTCCTCCTGCGCTGGCAGGGAAGTCAGGAAGAAGGCATCCTGGCCCTCACTTGAGAATAGGCTGGAAATTTATATCAGGGTAGAAATGACAAAGTCGGGTTGGTGGGCCACCTGATGGCATGGTGGTTATGGTGGCTGGATCCCACACGGTCAGCAGAGTGGTTCGAGTCCTGGACTTGGAGGCTTGAAAAACATGCCGGGTACATGTGCCTGCATGCCAGAAACCTAAGAGGAAGAAGGGAAGTGAAGGGATTGCAGCATGTCCATCCCCCTTGGGGGATTTCTCTTTCTCTGTCTCTCTCTGGCAAGCGCATGCACCCTGTAGCAAACTAAAAGAACAAATCAATAGGTCAGGTCAGCCGCTGCTCTCCGTGCGCATGGGGAAGCAGCGGGGCCCCTCTCTGAGAGTTGACGTCTGTGACTGAACGCTCCCAGTGCCCTGCCCTGTCCCTCGGAGGACCTGACAGTCCCGTGCACCAAGACGCCGTAGCAGAGTGTCATCCAGTCCCTCCGGTGTCTTCAGGGCTCAGTCTAACCTACTCTTTGATTTACACGGCCCTTGGTGGCCTGGCCCCCCCTAACTCTGGCCTTCTGTCCTCGACCTTGCATTCTCTAACTCAGTCACAGCGAATTACTTCTTTCTTAAAAAACTATTTAATTTATTTGTTCATTTATTTTAATTTGACCAGAGAGAGACAGAGCGGGAGCGGGAAAGTGAGAAAGCAAGACACCAGGTCCAGAACTGGAACCATGGTTGGCCATATGGGAGTGTCCAGTACCTTAACCACCACGCCCCCTGCTGGTCCCAACAGCGAATCGCTTCTAACTGTACTTCATTTTTCTTCTCTCCTGTCTCCCTGGACCCGAATGTCTTTCCTTTGCTTCTTCACATCTCAGTTGGTGAGAAGAACTCACATGGAGGGATAGGAGACAGTTGATCCCAAACTGCTCTAACCCACTTCATTGAGGCATCTTTATACTACTCTTAAAACCGAGAGACTAGGGACCAGCAGATGGCGTAATGGTTATGTCGCTGGACTCCCACATAGCCGACCACAGTTCAAGTCCCAAAACTGGTGACTCAAAACTCGCTGGGCTGGGACCAACAGTTAGCGTAATGGCTATGTCGCTGGACTCCCACGTAGCCGACCGTGGTTCGCGTCCCGGACCCAGTGGCTTAAAACTCACACCGGGC